ATCACATCAGGCAGACATTAGGCAACCGCAAATCGGCGCTCACATATTTAAAAAATTGGAAACGATCAAGTTCACAATATGATCTTTTTCAAGCACAATTAGAGTACAATTTTTTTTTCTTCATCGTTGACTTGATTGATCACCGTCCGATCCGTACTTATTTGAATTTGAATTAGACCATCAACCTATTAGTTTCCAACCTATTAGGTTTACCGCCATTCATCACATGAACTTCATAAATTATTTTTACCATTTATTCTACATCAATACGAGGGCCCTGGGTTGAATCCTGCATTTATTCCATTAGTCAATCTTGACCAACAGTCGCATTGCCCAACAATTAGTATTATTTACAATTTATGCATAACTAAAGGTGAATTATGGCTAATAGTTGACTATTTTATGCAATCAATGTTAAAATGAACTTATTTATTCTCAGGTCGGGTCCCAAGTCGCAAGGTTTCGTAAAAAATGAACATATCATATGTGCGAAATCAGCTGAAGAATTTATTGGATAAATTACCTCGGATGTATTATGTATTAGTCTAGTATTAAATAAAAGGTAGGCTGGTATGACCCAAAGCTGTGTATCGAATAACGATACAAGATTTACTATTTATAGAGATGATAAACACAACTTTTCATCTCAAGTTGTCATCTTATCGAATGATGCTACTCAAGTCCCGACATCAGGGATCTTTTTTAAAATTTGTGTATTGATTTTCCCCAACTTTGACACTCGCCTGGCTGCTTCTCTTGAAGCCCTCAAACGAATTTCCTGTCACCGCATTATGAAATTCGGAAATGTCAAAATCGGGTCGTGAATGGGACTCGCTTGAGGGAGTCACGTCAACTTCAGCGTTGCGTGAAGGTATACACTTTTGGTGTTCGGCTGTCTTATCTTCGCGCTGGTTGTTGCTGAGGTATACATCCTACGAACGTATATAAATTTGAAAGTACCTTTGTTACTATCAGATGTACGTTCATTCGCTGCCCTGGCCCTCATGCAGACTGTAAGTAAAATGCATGCAAATTGCCCTTTCTTCATGCTTACTCCGCTAACCTAAATTCGAGAAGACAATGAATTCCTTCAACTTCGTCTCTGTATTCCATCATGAAATGTTTTGGGCGACAGCTTGACAATACGAAGTACCTCAAATTTGGCGCACTCTCACAGATGTGAAATTATTTAGTATCATGCTTGCGAGAAATCCCAAATATATTGTGATGCGAGGTTAACGTGTACTTTCTAGACCGTTGCAAGCGCTTGATGCATGCAGCTACGAATTGGCAAGAAATCTAATATTGAGAAAACCCGCCTGTACTAAATTATTTAGTAATATTTTAGAATTGTGCTGTAGAGCAACTTTTAAAATTATTGGAATGCCAATTGGTAGTTATAGGATGCATTCACATGGTTGAACATTACGATTATTCGTAGCTCCAGATTTTACTAACTAAATATTTAGGAAGAGTATACAACGAGAAAACACTTGCAATGCATTGCACGTACTTGGAGTGAGGCACGGCTATTGAAGGCACATCGCTTGGCTCATTACGAACTTTTTATTTCTCGAAGAAATTACTGGGCAGTCACATTCTGCGTGCTCATTTGCGAGTGCCACGACCGTAGTGACTTATGCGCTCTTTTGTATATTTTAAATATGAATTGACAGTGTTTTATAAGAATAGCGATGGTAGGATCTTCAGTTAAAGTTAATGTACGAGCATTCCTGTGGCCTAATACAGAAAATACCTCTAAGAACAATGTAAGTGTCCTTAGAAAACAGTGGGCTATATCTACGTACAGGCAATCCATGCTTGCAAGGCTCTCCATGCAAGTAAGTACACCAAGTTAGGTGGTTGAACGGCATGCGCAGCGAAAAGCTTCCAGCAGGTCTCGCAATTAACGAGCAGAACATGGTTCTAAGCACAATAAATAAGTGCCAGTTGATAGCGTTGCAGTCTAGACTCTGGAATTTGTTTGCGCTAGTCTATGGGTAAGGTAGTGAGAAAATAATTTATCACATTTACTGGCAGCATGACTTTGCACCGGCAGCGCATGATATTTTATGATATAAAGAATGAATTTTATTAAGAAAAACGAGACACAGTTGCGTTAGAAATCAGAAACATTATTTTGTCGATTGCACAGCTGAAAAACGCGTTTTCATTACTCTGATGTATCTAAATGAAAAAATATAACTCAGTACTCACTGCAGTGAGTGACAGAGAGCGCATTTTCTCGTCGACGAAAACGTGAAGTCACGGACGGACAGACGGACATGACGAGCACAATAGCGCCTTTTTTCCATAAATGAGAAAATGCGCTAAAAATCGAATAGTTTGAGAATTAGTTATTAATGAATGTAAGAGGGGATTGTGAAACTAATAATATTATTTATTATCCACCAAACAAAATTTCTTCAGAGGAAATCAGGAACCTCTAATATAGAACGCTCTGATCTCTGGCTAAACACAAGGTGCCGGTTGCGTGTGGCCAGTTGTGGCATCAGGTACTGGCTGCCACTGGTTTTACCTGCCACAACACACGAGGTTAGTAATGGCTTCCAGTATTCTCTCGACTGTGGTCGCTAGTGAGTCGTCTGGGCCGGGAGCAGAAAGAATATATAAATCCAATCAAGGGCATTTCTTATTTATTTGCTTATGAGCTACCCCATTTTCATGATTCATTTCTGGAGTCCACCGATCTTTCACCAGTGAATTACAACACATATACTTCAAAGCGAGTCTGACCAATTGATTATAAAGTAAATTGATTGCAGTCCTAGTTGGAAAATTTTTTTAACCATAACTTTCTTCCGACTGTTGAGCTTTTTGGTTATGGAAACATGAACGGTCTTCTTTATTGGTAATATTGAAATAACTGAAATTTGTGTTATCACCGCTGTCGGATAATGCGCGTAATCGGAAACTTATTTTAAAACAAATTAAAAATATAATTGTCTTAAAGTAAATCGCAATTGCGAGCGACGGAAATAAACACTATTACATTAATAATAATATTCACTGCATAATGTATAATAGTCTTTAATAGAATTATTTTAAAATAAGAACAAACTTTTTCTCTGACCATTTATGCTGAATTTAATAGCGAAGAATGATTTAACAATAATAATTTGAAACAAAATTTGTTCTCTATTAAAATCTGCCCAAAGTTATTTACAAACGAGCAATCCCAGGTGGCCTCTCATCACTCTCAAGCGTCTTCATTCTCAGCTAGTCAGGCGGCCGTACGTTACTTAGTCATGTGACCATTTGCTGGCCGCTTACTCGCCACTAAATACAAACATGTTTGAGTTTACTGGCCGACTCTTGCTACTGAATCACTAAACTGCCGGAACCGCTCTACACGAGGTCAGCAGCCCAATAATAAGTACTAGTGGCGGTTAGTAGTGAGTAGTTATAATGGCCGCCATTACCGTCCTCGCGAACAAAAGCCTCGAGTTCATGGGTTGAAATTTTCCACGAACTTAACTTAACTTAACTAACTCATGGTCCATGAACTTAATTTAGGTTTTGTAATTGTTTCGTTAAGGAATATGAATAATTTTGAAAAAATAATCTTCAATAGAAAATTCCTGTTTAATATGGCGTCATAGTTAGGTTGTAGTGCAATGATTTTTGAACGCCAGATAATGCAGTTAATAACATTTGTGTTTGAAATTCATTCGTTGCTTCAACGATGAATATGAATTGCAGGCGTGCTATTTAATTCAACAATGAAGTTTTTTTTCAAGGCTAGCCAAACGTGGTTTCATTTGAACATCCTAATAATTATGCACTGACTTTTAATTATGTGATTAATAATTCGCGTATATTAGTGTTTATCGTTTTTTGACGCTTTCGTTTGTAATTTAAAAACGGTGATGGGCAATGCCTGGTGGGCGCAGCTGAGCACCACAAATATAATTCTAAAATTATCCCTGGACTCAACACTGAGTCACAGCATGCAATAACTACACTCAGCCTCAGAAATAAGAGTCAAAACCCACGCTGGAACACGTAAGTCAGATCAGTTCCGCCCTGCCAACAGCGCGGTAATCTACAGCCACTACTTCGAGATGCGTGCTAGAGGCCAGCATTGCCCAGTCCGCACTCCATTTCGTATTCTGTTCAGTAGGTAAGCACGCTAGAAGGTAATGTAGTCATTGAATATAGGTGCTCAATGTAATAACGCCTGAAGTCTACAGTAACTACTCAAGCATGCCCGCTTCAAACACGCAGTTTTGCATCCGGCTTCACCTACTCATGCTGTCCCGACTCTACACCTAAATCCAACCTGAACGAAACCAAACTCATCGGTTGCGGGAAGGTTGAGAGGAGACGCAAATGAGTAGGCAGAGCCAGTCATTTGCTGCAAGAAAGCGGAGAGTCAGGGCAACCTGAGCTGGTGAGACCGAATGCAGAACTGCAAACTTATTAGCAAGCGTGCTCGTAGTAGCTGTATATTTACGGTGCCTTTGTTTATTAAGCATTGCGAAATTGATCTGGCTTACAGTGATCGTTATCTGCGGCATCTACTTCTGAGGCTGATTGTAGGTACTTCAATCCACGTAACAACGTAGGCGTTGTCTCCATGACTAATTTAATACTTAAATTCATGGCCAACGGCTGCACAAAAAACTAAGCAAAAGCATATACGATTACAAGAGCGTATTTTGAATAAAAAGCTTTGCTGTTAATTATGTCAAGATCGGTTCTGATTTGACCATGTTATGCGACGTGTAGCAAGAGTTGTAAAAAAACACCTAAGCGTTTGAGAGCGACATTTTTATTGAAAAAAAAAATAAATTTGAAACGGTTAAATATTCTATTTATGAGTAGAAGTTAGTCATTATGTTCAACGTATATACCAGAATACTCAGAAATAACGTGTTCCTTTAGTGAACCAATACTTTTACATTTTTGCGTCGTACCATATTGAGCTTGTTTCGCCACATATTAGCTTTAGCTGCAGAGTGCAGAAAGTCATTTCGCCGATTAATCACGTTGATCAAGGGCCGAACATCAAGCCTTGCTCAGGCATTTGTAAGCGGGTGAGTGTGTTCTAAATGAGTTGCCTTCGTAACTGTCTATATGTTGTGTCTTACTACAGTGTTAATTTTTAGTGGCTTATATACCGCTCCGCACTTGACTCGCTTGGCGCTTGCAACTTCATGCAAGTTCAAAGTTGCAACTCGCATTATACATTAACATAACATAGTAAAAAAAACGATGGCGGTGCCACTGGCTGGCTGCTGAGGCAGGTTGGCACTTGGCAGTCCATCGTGTGAGCACTGCCACTGTGCAGTCTACCATAGACTGCAAATTGGCAGTGCTCATTTCATGGGAATTTTCAAGCCGTGAGTAAAGCTTGTCTCAGTTGTCTGATAGTTTTTGATCCACTAATTTCTCTGTCCATCAATAATCTCCTAATTCTTAACAAGGTATCAAAACTGCATAATTGAGCTGCAAGATTCTAAATTAATGTGAAATATTACTGATTTTTGTGTCCAATTATTAGTAGGTACTAGCCTACTAGGTACTAGGTATCATATCTATTTATCAATACCTTGTCAGGCTTGTCTACTAGTCAGTCTATCAGTGTTCATAATCATAACTGTGAGTAGCTAATACCTAAGTCTTCCAAAAAAATTGTAAAAACATGCAGGCAGCAGACTTGATACTGGCAAACCAGAGATTTTTTAGAATCAGTGCATTTTTAATTTCCTCAATTACTCAATATTTAAATCAATTTCTTAAGTATGATAATGCTGGTATGGTATCCATATTCCATGATACTTTACTCGAGTTTACTGGTCTACTTATAAGTAATCAAAATTGAACTTGTAGGAGAGTCTAAAAAACTCTCTGCTTTGCCACTATGCAAGTTGATATTTTGTTATAATTTCATCATTAACTGTGACGTCTGTGAGTCTGTGACTCAGACTGCAAATGTTCTCTTTTGTTTTGACTCTTGAGACTTGAGTAGGTGACAGTTTGATACAGGTTTATAACCATTAACCAAACAGAGAACTTGAATAGGAGCCATTTGAGCCAATCTGGATTATTGGAAAGAATTAGTCCAAAAATTGTGGGTTAAAACTTCAAAGACTAAGAGAATATTTGAAACTTGTAGTTGTAGGCAGTACTCACATAGTGGCAAATCAGAGAGTTTTTTAGACTCTCTTAACTTACAGTTACTCACTGAGAGTCTGAGTCTCAAGTTCATTTATGAGTCCTATATATACTGCCAACCAGGATGGAATTCTAATATTGACAGTTCATATATTATTCCCAATACACCTACTCCAGTTTTTCAATACAACATTATTTTAGGCAAAAAAATGAACTTCTTATAGGCTTAAAACACGTATGGGTATGCTAAGTTTCTATAAGGTAATTCACTTGGAAATGTTGCGTGCCAGCAAGGCTGCAGGCGCAGCTTTCACTCAAAAATTAAAAGTATACAAAGTATTAGTTTGTTAAAGATTTGTCTCTTAATATGACTGCAAAGAAGTAAACTTAATAAAGTAATTACAGCTACCGTGACTACGCTGTCAAGCAGACTTTTCGATGATGCACACACTAAACACGAGAATACATAGAACAACAAAAGCAGTCGCCCGGCATGCAACTGCGAAAACAAATGACGATTGCGGCAGCGGCGCACGGATCATAACGCTAATATAGTCAATGCAAGAGAATGATTAATTATGATATTTCTGATAGAGATTTGAAATATTTTCGGAAGCCTAAAACTATAACAAATTATTTCGTTACTTTGACATGCTTGATTTCAAAATAAATATTTTAATGTGAATTCATGAAAAACGTTTAAAATAAATTGAATAATGTTCATTTATATCTATAGGTGGGAGTAATTCGAGTAAACAACTACGAATCGATTTATTATCCTTTAAATAAGAATCTTTGCATTGAAACTTCTGGAAGATGTGTCCACCGCAATATTTGTACAGTGGTATCAAGAGTCAAAGCCGTCAACCGATCGTTGGATGGCCGCAAATATGTCGCATCATTCTACCTATTACAGTCAATAGAACCTAAATAAACTCTGTTCATCAAAAGGACAAAAAGCTTATGTATCAAACATACGTGGTAGTACAATAAATTTTGAGATCTCCAGTCATGAGACTTAAATTCATACCCATAGGTGATCTTGAATTTCTGCACTGCGTTCAATTAAGCAATTTGTAAAATCATAAATTTCAAATAGGTACCGTACCAACTTTTTCAATTTAATTCTGAATGAGTTGCGTCTGTTGAATTTTAATAGGGATCATTAATTTTTGCATCGTATTTCTGAAAATCAAGTACCTATTTCATTTCTTTTAAATTAAAAACATTCTTTTACATCAAAAACAACAATTTTTTTTCTTACAGTTTCTTTGATAATTGATGATCTCACTCATATAACTTAATATTTTAGATTTAATGATTTTGTCACTTCGGTGACTAAACTTTCTTTGGTTCATTAAAATAAAATAATTACTGCTTATAAACAACCAACGTTTTCTAAAAGACACAAGACATTCGAAAACTCGCCATGGGAGACAAAATCATTCAGGATTTGAAGTGAAGTGAAGTTATTAAGACAAATTCGACATTATAGGGTGAAAACATGAATAAATTCGTATTTAGAAGCGTATCAATTGGTGTTTAAATTTTTAAATAATTTTCCATCATTTAAATGTCACTGTGAAATGTGGATCAAATCTATTTATTATGAAATTGAACTTTACAAGACCAAAACAAGGTGTCTGACACCGTCTTGTCTAATGTCAACAGTCAACACAATGTTGCCATACACCATGAAAGATTAGCAGTTTATCCCATCATTCCATGTGGATTTGAGAACTTTGTTGGTATTGGTGAAATCGTGAGAATTTTCTGTGAAAGTTTATTTTGGAACATATTCATTACAAAATTTGTTGATACGGATACACGACTAGTGATGTATTGGAGGGAAGAGTCGCCGACTTTTTATCGGTTTTCGAACCACACGCAAGCGAGTTAGAGGAAGTGCAGCTGTCCGGTGTCCGCAGTTTCTGACGAGCTCAGTGTAAGAGTATGAGTAATTGAGTATCAATTGTCACTTCGGTGGAAGGTGTAAGGTGGTAAATTTTCCGATACATTTTCTTTTGTTAACATGATAATATATTATCTATACAGAATTCCATACTGCTGCCAACCGGGGCTACTCGGGACAATTTCGAACGTTTTTCATTCATAATTTCTTACCATGAAACATTTCATAAATAAGTTTAGGCTCATTTCAAAGCTCTTTGCAAGGGCTATCTCATGGTTTCTCCTAAAAAATTCCATATGCTATTGGTAAGGTGCCAGAAGCAAAAAAAGTGTCCCGAGTAGCCCCGTCAAACGGGGTCACTCGGAACACTTGGAAATTGGAATAAAACTTCATTTTAAAGCATTTGAAGCATGCAGAGTGTACTCATCCATTACTAACAGACTAACAGTACTCTGAACTCTGAAGTCCTCCTTTTTCATTGTAGATGATGTAGAGGTAGAATAAATGACATTTTCTGTAATTTTTACTTGTTTTCATTTCTTGATGTGATTTTACCATATACATTAATTACCGTATTATTGATGCAATATTACCGTATTATTGATGCAATATTACCGTATCCATGAACATGCCATTGAGCATTCACAACAACCTTGTTCACTGCAAGCTTCATATCAGCAGCCTTATAGCATTTTTTCTGTATCTGTAAGCTTACAGGACGGCTTGTAATTTCACACCATTTTAATTGGCTTAAGTGAATTTACAATAAAAAAAAGACTGAAAAACATACTTGAAACAGAAAGGAATGTTTTAGTGACAACCATCATATGTTTTTGGAGAAATAAATCATAGTTTAGGTCAATTACATTTCATTCTATGATGCCTGGTGCACAATTCTATATATATATATGACTTTCTATGCACAATTTTGTGATGACCGATGATGCACTAATTTCTTGATAAGTGAATTTTTTTTTGCTGAGCGAGGTAAATGTAATCAATTTTCTTTGTTTTTAACCAATTTTTTTCTTGACTGGAGCCTTTGCTAACTGAGGTTCTACTGTAAATGCGTTTTTGGGGGTGTTCCGAATAGCCCCTGGGGTGTCCCGAGTAGCCCCCCCGTGCAGAAATGGCCGCCATTTTCTTTTGGATTGAGGTATGTAAATTCCGCAAATAAAGTTTTCATGCTGACACTTGTCTGCCACTTTTTTCTAAGCAAAATTTTTTAATACGGCAAATATTTTTTTTACTACAGACCTTAGCAGAAGCAACTTTTCAAAATATCATTTTTCACCATTTTTTCAGGAATTTTTCGAAGCTAGTAAATTTAGTATTTTTGAACTTCCTTTATACAACATAGATAGGAAAAATGTTGACGTTATCACCACTATATTTAGTTTTACATTATTCCAATTAGTTTTGCTACTAAAACAGTTTTACTCTGTGTCGGAGGACTGTACCGAGTTATCCCGCCCGTCCCGGGTAGCCCCATTTGACGGTAGACCAGTAAAGTATCCTGGATACCTGCATTAATCATTCATAAAAAATTAGTTTAAATTGTGAGTAAATGAGGAAATTAAAAATTAACTGATTCTAAAAAAATCTGTGGTTTGTCACTATGGATAGTAGGCACTAGGGCAGTACTAGGCACACAGGTTTTTTTTGAGAATTTTTGCACTGGCCATAAAAAGCAGGCAAATGCAACTGTGCAAGCTCAAGCATTTCTGTCTTATTTATGGTCATGAATGGTGATGATGGTCTCAGCCAGTCAGCCTAATTTCCTGGTACAGTATGGCCAGGGTGCAGGGTTTGCAAACAGCATCACCAAGATATGGATTTTTAGCCCAAAACGTTGCCAGGTAATTTTTAATAAGAAAATGCTGCAAGCAACTTTGATAGTATATCCCTTACTCTCCACCAGGGTGGAATTCTAAGATTAGTGGTTCACTTGAAGAAAAGCATTATGCCTTTGAAAAAAATGTTTCAGGCAACTAGAAACAGGTTTGT